GGGGGGGGGGGGGGGGGGGGGGGGGGGGGGGGGGGGGTGGGGGGGGGGTTAGGGGAGGAGGTGTGGAATAAATGGGCCTGTCTGGATTAATGGAGGTCTACAGTGTGTGTGTGATCCGTCACTGCTGCCTTCAAGACTAATCTGAGGGCAGGGAGAAAAAGCAAACACACAGAACGAGAATGAAAAGGACGGTGCGTTTAGTGTCATCTGTAAACTACAGAGATCAGTCTGTGAAGGAGGAACAGGAACTGAAAAACTGATGCTTCACAGAGCAGCGTGAGCAGCAGGTGGAGCAAGAAACAAGACCGACACAACCAGGCTAGGCTAGTCAGCTAACAGCCGGCTCAACACTGAACTAAAGCTAACAGGCTAACTAAGTCTCCTCCTCCTCCTCCACCTGTGTGACTCTCACACAGACAGGACTTCACAGCCGGTTCCACTGGTACCGTTTTCTCCTGAGCTCAGTGCAGAACTGTTAAAGGACTGGGCTATGAATTAGAGGGTTGTTGGTTCAAATCCCGGCCCCAGGAACGCTGTCATCTGATGAGTGACGATATAAGAAAAGAAGACTTTTGTTGGAGGACGGGTCCACTGGTCCAGGGTCCAGTCTGGAGGACGGGTCCAGTCTGGTCCAGCTGCAGTAGAACCTTCAGTCTGGAGGTCTGTCTGCAGTGAGAACAGCTGGAGAACGTTGTTGGAGAAACATGAACAGAATGGTTTGAATGTTTAATGGACCTTTATTAAAACCTGTTTGGGGGAGTGTGTGTGTGTGTGTGTGTGGGGGGATCGGGGGGGGAGTGTTCAGAGCTAAAAGAAGAGAAAACGACCCCCCAGTAAAAAAACACAGCTCAGCCTTTTTCTGTTGTTCTTCTCTTTCCTCCCAATTACCCTCCATCTCCTCCGCAGCAGGAGCGCGGCCTCCTCTCCACACTTCACATCATTAAATTTGATTGTGCTTTGTAGGATCGACATGAGAGTCATGACCCGGAGCACGCCGAGGCTGAGTTGTGTGGAGATCCAAATCCCCAGGAGGAGGTGCAGAAACAGCAGGAGGGAGCGGAGGGGGGTAATCTGACCAGATTAGAACCCAGAGGACGTGGAAGGGGGGGGCAGGGAGCGAGGTTTAAATCCTGAGAGGTTGACATGAGGGAGGTCTTTAACAGGACCTGGACCATCGACAGTTCATGACTGGTTCTGGTGTCCTGGTTCAGAAGTAATAACACCTGCAGTCAGGACACAGGCGTCTCCTCCATGTCCTTGGACCTGGAACCACCTCCTGGACAGGAGTTAAGATCAACCACTGGACCATGACATCACATCCACCATGTCTGACCATCAAATCAGGACGACGTCACTGTCATCAGATCGTTAACACGTTTGAGAAAGGAGGAGGAGTTAACACAGGAGTTAATAAAGGAGTTAATAAAGGAGTTAACACAGGAGTTAATAAAGGAGTTAATAAAGGAGTTAACACAGGAGTTAATAAAGGAGTTAATAAAGGAGTTAACACAGGAGTTAATAAAGGAGTTAATAAAGGAGTTAACACAGGAGTTAATAAAGGAGTTAATAAAGGAGTTAACACAGGAGTTAATAAAGGAGTTAATAGTTAAAATAAAGGAGTTAACACAGGAGTTAATAAAGGAGTTAACACAGGAGTTAATAAAGGAGTTAACACAGGAGTTAATAAAGGAGTTAACACAGGAGTTAATAAAGGAGTTAACACAGGAGTTAATAAAGGAGTTAACACAGGAGTTAACACAGGAGTTCATGAGGACAGAGGGAGAAGGTCCAGCAGTCATGTGACTCTCTCACTGTCCTCACCCTCCTCTCTCGCTCCCTCTGACAGAACAGACCATGGGCCATCAGAGGTCAGAGGTCAGCTGGAGTTCAACAGAACGTTCTGTGTCAGGAGCTCCACGATTATTAAACAGGAGGTGGAGTCAGAGGTTCCAGTTGAAGCTGGACTTCAGCAGAACTGCTCTCAGATCAGCTCCGCCCACTCCCTGCCCTCTGCTCACGTCACATCGCAGCATTTATTCTTAGACCCTGGATTTTCCTCAGGAATCTTCTCCGCAGACACGTGACGCTGCCTGGGAGAAGAACTGCTGATCCCAGATCTCCTTAGTCTGGATTTTCAGGAGAGAAGCGGAAAAAGAACTGGGAAGAACTCCAGAGAGAGAAGGAGACAAAGGAGACAAAGGAGACAACTCCCTTCCGGCTTTAATCTGGGAGGATCCGTTTATCCACATCTACAAGTCAACATGACCAATCATGTAGTAGCAGTGGTTCTCAACCGGGGGGGCGGGACCTCTGAGGGTCAGAGGAGGTCCGAGTGTGAATGACGTCTGCCAGCTGCTGATCCTGAATCAGTTCATCTGAGAAACTGTATCAACAGCTGTGTGTAGCTGCCCAGTCCTCCAGGTCAGGTGAAGACAACTGGACTCACAGAACTGCCGTGTTCTTCCACCTCTCTGAGAAGACGACAGACGTCCGTCAGAACATCACACTGGTCTCCACTACATATTCATCTGTTTCTTCTCACATGCTGCAGTGACTCACAGTTTTTTTTTTACCCATGGTACCGTGTGGACCGGGACGTTCCTCTGTGGGAACCGTCTTTCACACCATCAGTGTTCCTGGATTACAGCAGTGTGAAGAACGTGTGGGAGTTTAACTCCAGCTGTAATCCACAGTAATCCTTCATCCTGAACATTAATCACCAGCACGCACGCACACAGACATGTCTTTAGGAGGTTCTGGTTCCTGTCCAGAGGAGGAGTGTCAGTGTGAGACAGACTTCGTCCCTGCAGGAGATCCAGTTGTGATCCTGGACCGTGGACCTCAGCAGGTCCTGGTCCTGACGTCAGATGATGGGGTCTGACATTGTGGTGTTGACAGGCTGTGACCTTTGACCTTTGTTACGTCACACTCTCTCAAAAAGACCCAGAGCAAATGTTTCCCATGGTTCCTCAGGACCGGCGTCACTGCTGCCCACGTGGACTGGGACTCTTCTGTTCCAAACCGAATGAAAACCATATTCAGATGCGGCTCACAAAGACAGGGTCCGAGCACAAGATTTCCCATGATGCTTCAGTTAATAGAGCACTTCTCATGGAGCGGCAAGGCGGACCCCCAGGATCTGCTGGTCTTTCATCAGCCTCTGGGCGTCTCTGCCAGCGCCTGAGAAATAATTACTGAAGAGCTGAAATGCCGAGGCATATTTCTGGGCGCTCCTCTCCTCTCAGCGCTGCCC